CTCGACAACCATGCACAGGGCAGGAGGGCGGCGCGCCAAGGCGACCTTCGGAACCAATTATCAGGCCACGGTGACCTAAGGGCGACGCTCAACCACACGCAAGGTGAGCGCTCGGTCCGCAGCCGGCGGGGGGGAAGCCGACGTCATGCTCCGCGCATGGACCCGGCTCGACTCAATGCCGGGGTGGAAGCCCTGCAGGAGGCAACTCGGGTTCTGGGGACCTTGGCTCAAAATTTCCAACAGATGGTGTCTGGCGGAAATGTGGATGAGCCTGCCCGTCAACAGACGCCAGCGGATGTGGAGGTGTCCTCCAGGCGGCGTGATGAGCGACGCTCTGGATCCAACCAAAACAGGGGGAAGAAGTCTCCCATCGGCGGGGGGAAGAAGTCTCTCGGCAGCCTAGCCGACCCCATCGGCAGACGGGGAGGGGCGCCCAGCAGGGGCACCCAACGCAGATGGAAGGAGGCGAGCCCTCTCGCCACTCTCACCGGGCGAGCAGTCGGACTGGCTCCACGGAGAGGCAAAACGTGGGGCCCCGACCTCACGTGCACGGGCGACTTGGAGGTGCCGCCGGACATGCCCAGCCCCGCGCTGGAGCTGTCCGGGGGAACCCACCGCCGGCCGAGGTGGAAGATCTACGACAGCGCCTTGACGAGTTGAGAAGGAGGGTTGTCGGGGGGGAGCCTTACACGGCCGACCTCCGGATACCCGAACCCTTCACCCGGGCGGTCATGGATGCGCCGTTGCCGAGGGGCTACAAGCCCTGCGCCATTGAAGCATACAAGGGCGCTTCGGACCCCCAGCATCATGTATCTCGGTACCTTTCCTACATGGTCATGATGGGGTACGAGGACGCAATCCGATGCCGCGGTTTCTCCGCCACTTTGGATGGCCCGGCTCGTGAATGGTATGACTCTCTACCCGACGGGAGTATCACGAATTTCCGTGAGTTGGCTCAGCGCTTTCTCTTGAGGTTCGCGAGCTCCCGAGACGTCAAGAAAAACTTCAGCCACCTGTTCGGCCTAAAACAGGGGAAGAAGGAATCATTGTCGACCTTCCTAGCGAGGTGGAGGGCCGAGTCAGTCAAGGTTCAGGGCCTTGATGACAGGACCGGGGTGGCCATGCTCACAAACTCTATCCGATCGGGTGAGCTTTACAAAGATTTCGTCAGAAGTCCCCCTACCTCGTACGAGGAGGCGCTCGGCCGTGCCGACCGGCAAGCCGAGGCGGAGGACGCCTTGCAGAGGAAAAGAGAAGAAAGGAAAGGAAAAAAGAAAGGAAAGAAAAAAAGAAAGGAAAGAAAAAAGAAAGGAAAGAAAAGAAAAGGAAAGGAAAAAAGAATGAGAGAAAAGAAAAGGAAAGGAAAGAAAAGGGAGGAAAAATAAAATAAAGTCCAAAAATAATTTATGAAGTAATAAAAATGAATTTCAGGGATTTTTTGAAGCTGACCTGGATCCTGAAGTCTGGGAGAAAGCTTGCTGCTGGAATGCTAGTACGCTAAGGGAATTAATTTGGGGCCTTTTAAAGTTGGGTGCCTTATTCAAAATTTGGAAATCTCCATAAATTGTGGGATTGACAGAATCCACAATTATGACTCCCTGATATGTGAATATTTTTTAATAGGCAGCTGACCTGAACTACTCCCTCTCAGCCGAGTCTACTACTCGACTGAGGGAGTGGGGGACTCGTGATGGGGTTATGGGACCAGGCCCAGAGCCTAATCGGCCCAGGCCCCGAACTTGGACCAGCGGGCCCAAGCCCAGCAACCTAGAGCTCGAGTCGGCCCAACCAATCAGGGCAATCAAGGAGCGGAAGCCCAAGAGAGCCTGTCGACCAGCCCAGCGGGGAGCCTGCCTTCCAGCCCAGTGGGGAGCCTGCCTTCCAGCCCAGTGGGGAGCCTGCCTTCCAGCCCAGCTGGGAGCCTGCGGTCCAGCCCAATCGGAAGCCTACCGACCAGCCCAGCTGGGAGCCTGCGGTCCAGCCCAACTGGGAGCCTGTGGTCCAGCCTACCCGGGAGCCTGCCTTCCAGCCCAACTGGGAGCCTGTGGTCCAGCCTACCCGGGAGCCTGCCTTCCAGCCCAGTGGGGAGCCTGCCTTCCAGCCCAGTGGAGAGCCTGCCTTCCAGCCTAGCCAGGAGCCTGCCGACCACCAACCCAACTGGGAGCCTGCGGTCCAGCCTACCCGGGAGCCTGCCTCCAGTCCGGTCAGAAGCCTTCCTCCAGCCTAGCGGGAAGCCCACCGTCCGGTCCAGCAGGAGGGAGCTCAAGCGTCCAGCCTGCCAGCCAGACTGACCTGCCAGCCAGGAAGAGTAACGGTCAACAATCAATGCGCGACTTAATTATGTGTTTAATTCTGTATTAACGTTGTAATTAATTTAGTCATTATTATGTTCGGCAGTTACCATTTGTAATCGCCTATAAAAGGCAATTCGAATTTCAAATACAGATATGCTTTTTCTGGCTAACTTTCCATATTCGTACTTTCCTAATTCCTGCTTGAGTGTCGTACGTAGCTTTCCTAAAAGCCTACGAGCGTCCTATTTTGGACCAACAGTACACATTGAGCTTCATTATTTAAATATAAATAGTCAGTGATAGAAATCAACTTTGTGTATGTATCTGTGTATACCTTCTGTAAAAATACAGGAACCTCAACAGTTAATATTGAAGGACAATGAACAGATTTGAAAAAGTGTTCACTCAAACACTTTCTTTCTCCTTAATTTGTTGCCCTCCAAATTTGCGTATTGGTCTTTGTTTTTGCTTCTGTAAAATGAGACAACTTTGTATAAGTATATTACGATGCTATATAAAATTTAAATAAAGTATAAGCTTAGTAACAACTTGGCATTTAAAATTGCCCAGATATTAAGATAAAAAAAGGAATATATTAATGTGTGGTTGGTTCACTGAATAAGTAGAAGATACTGTTAAAGAAAAAATACAAATAAAAAGTTTAACTTTATTTCATAGAATATGTTGATTAATGTATGTAGCTAAAGCTGAATACACAATGTTTTCATCCGTTAATAACAAAATCACGTTTTCAAAGCATATATACATTTGTAAATAAGAAAGCAAATAATTTTAACATATGTTTAAAGGTAATAAAATGTGTTCAATTGCAATTGCATTTGTGTATTATCTCAAAGGCATACTTTTTTCATCCGGATTTAAAAAAACAGGATTTTTGATCAACCTAGACTGGATTAAAACGAGATTTACAAATTTCCATTCATTTTATACTAACGATGATGACATAGTAATGAAATTATAATTGGCATGCATTTATTTGGGCGAAATAAATTAAATTAATTCACAATCTATGCGAAAAAAATACTTATCTCTCAAAGTTAGTTGATGATTAAGGCTCAGATTCTTCAACATAGTCGGAAGATGTGCCGGTAAACTTATAAAGTGTCGATGGTGCCGGTGTAGTACACGCAGTATATGCCGGTGTGCTTGAAAATGCCTAGCGGCTAAGGTTGACGAGCTGAGGGGTGTACATATATGGTTCTGTTTGAGATCTGTCTGAAGGTGGTGAAGATAGGAAAGAAGGCACATCGAGAAATTTCTGTGTCTCCCTTCTGCATCTCTGCGGCTGGGAAGAAGAGGAACGAGGAACAGGGTTTGGGAAAGATATTTAATTTTGATTCTTGGGCTTTTGGGCTAAATCAGAAATTGGGTTTTAGATTTTTTGTTTTGAAGTATTGGGCTGGAGTCACAAAATTGGCTATGGGCCTGACCTATAATTACATTTAGGATGTAATTATATTTTTTAAATTCAATTATAAGATTTCTTTAAATACTTCCTCCGTTCTTAAATAAATGCAACGGTCAACATTTCACACTTGCCGAGACACAACTTTGACCATTAATATAAATGATTTTGAATTAGTAAAAAAATTAAAAAAATTAGATTATGAAAATTTACAATGAGACAAGTTTAACAACATTTTTTTCATAAAATAATATTATTACATTAATAAATAAAACGTAGTCAAAGTAGAACATGTGAATAGTGTAAAAGTCAAAGTGTTGCATTTATTTAAGAACGGATGTAGTATATGGGTATTTTATTTTGAAATTCATAAAGTATTAAATCAATATCAATACAAAAAAAGGGAATATAAACCTATTATTTTACAACTAAAAAATTATACGAATATTTAGTTTCATTATGTTTGTTTTTATAGCTCACATTAATAACTTTAGTTTGTTATATCATTTGATTAGCCTAATCTCATATATCTGCAAAAAAAGTTCAATGTATACTTATAATAATTTTATTTATATTTCAGGTAAAAAGAGTGAACCGTTGCTGAAAAAAAATAAACACATATTGACATCACCTTCACTGACGAGATCGCCTTTAGGAGAAATTACAAATGGTAATCCTTAAAATTTTTGTATATGTATTTATATTTATGTATACAATTGAGTATGAGTTTTGATTTTGCTTTATTTCATATAGAAAATATTCCAACAAGTTTTCAATGTCAACCTTCATCTCAAGGCAATAACGTCAAGCGCTACATTTACCTTCAACATTTGTGGAATGTAAATCCACTTGAATGTCATCTACCTGTAAAGGTTAGAAGTCATAGAGGTGAGAATTACATTTGTTGTGTATTTATATGGTTTTGTTAAATGTGAAATATGCATTTAATTTAAAGAACAATAAATTCATATGTAGGTGGTCCATCTCAACCAATTTATGGAATAAATAATAGTCTCGATGCACCATCAAAGAATGCGGATGGAATGGAATTGGGCATGCAGAGAGTGGGTCATTCCACCTCAAATGATGGTGACGTTGAGGGAAAAGGTAGTTTCAATAATGTTCTAATTGGTAAATGTATCCTCGAATATAAATTTTATATAGTTTTTCTTAAATGTAAATTGTCTATTTAAACAATAATAATTTTAGATGCAGATGGTCCATCTCAACAATTTCTTGAAATAAATAATTTTCTTGATGCATCATCTGAGAATGAGGATGCAATGCTCTGTGATGATGCCGGAAATGGTGATTCCAATAATTTTCCATCTGGTAGTTTCAGATTCAAACCTCAATTTTATAAATTGATGATTGTAATAGTCTATTCATTCCGTTTAAACATAGTTTTTGTGGCTGACATTGTTTGCATATTTTTAGGTTATTGGGATATTGGGGATCCTTCTTTCGTTTGTAGCTCTTGCGGAGCCTTATTTTGGTATGAGGAGAGATTAGCTAATTATTATAAGGCCAAAAATCCAAAGTATTCTGGATGTTGTATGCAAGGAAAAATACAACTACCACTCATAAAAAGGTCTCCATTATTTATTGAAAATCTTTTTATTGGTCAAGATGCAAGGAGTAAACATTTTTTGCAAAATATTCGTTCATACAATAATATGTTCTCCTTCACATCTTTGGGTGGAAAAATTGATACCACCTTGCATGATGGAAAATCTCCCCCGGTGTTTAAGCTACATGGACAAAAGTTTCATTTGATGGGGAGTTTGTTACCGTGTGAATCTGTGGTTCCCAAATTTGCACAGTTGTACATATATGATACAGAGAACGAGGTCTCTAATAGAATTAATTCTGTGCGGTAAGAACGTTGTATATATGTATATTAATATTCAATACATTTCATTGTGGATTATTAGCTTATTTCATTAAAAAAAACTCAAACTTCATATTTTACAACAAGTATGTTTTTCTTCTTTTGTGCATTTCAAAATCACACATTTTTATTAATACAAATAAGATGTAAAACAATACAATTTGTACACTTAAAACTACAAAAAGTGAAATAATATTAAATATAAATATTATTTTCTTTCTTAATTTTTAGTTATTCATCAATTGAAACTGTAATTGTGAGAAAAGTTGAAGTTTGAGTATTTTTCATAAAATTGAGAGTACGGGATACATTTGTGAATTTCATGATAGTTGGATATATATTTACCTAATAAACCTTTTTTTATTAGTCAATAATTATGTATATAATTTATCCTATGCTCAATCAGGAAAGGAAAAGAATCTCATGATTTGCATGAAGAAATTGTTGAGGAATTGAAACATACTCTTGATGAGCATAATGTGCTGGTGAAATCATTTAGAATGGCCGAAAAGAAAATCCATGAAGAAGGATGTGTTGAGTTTAAGTTGAAGCTCATAGGAAAGAGAGCAAAGGATGGGAGAACCTACAATCTACCTTCGGTATCAGAGGTTGCAGCTTTGGTTGTCGACGATTTTGATTTGTCATTGGGACAAAGAGATATTTTGGTCGAGACTTGCACTGGGAGGTTGCAACAGATTAATGAATTACACCCTTCGTATCTAGCGCTCCAATATCCACTTTTATTTCCATATGGGGAAGATGGATTTAGAGAAGACATACCGCTGTGTAATATAAAATCGGATCAAGCCGGAGGGAGAAAAGTGGTTAGCATCAGACAGTTCCTTGCATATCGGTTGCACGAAAGAAATACTGAATTATCCATTACATTGCGTGCTAAGAAATTATTTCAGCAATATGTTGTTGATGGTTACACTCTGATTGAATCGAGCAGGTTAGCTATATTCGCAATAATCAAAAGCAATTGAGGTGTGAAATGTTTAAAGGATTGAATGATGCTTTATTGAGTGGTGACACAAATCCTGCCACACAGGGGAAGCGCATTATACTCCCATCTACATTTGTTGGCGGAGCTAGATATATGATTCAAAACTATCAAGATGCAATGGCCACATGTAGATGGATGGGATATCCAGATTTATTTATAACTTTCACGTGCAATTCAAAATGGCCAGAAATACAGCGCTACCTTGATGAACGGAATCTCAAGCCAGAGGATCGACCCGATATTATTTGTCGAGTTTTTAAGATGAAGTTGGATGGTTTAATCAATGATTTCCGTCGCAACAAGATATTTGGCACTGTAAGAGCAGGTATTTTAAACATGTAATAAAAAATGTAATATTATTTAAGGTTATTGTTATGTTCTTATAATTTTTAATTTTATTCTAATCTTGCTTCTCAACTATTGATGAATTTAATTTGCAATTTTGTATTGTAGTTATATACACCATTGAGTTCCAAAAATGTGGATTGCCACATGCCCACATATTGTTGTTTCTAGAGAAAAGTGAAGACCTAGCAACAACTGATCACATTGATAAGATCATTTCAGCCGAAATTCCTTGCAAGGAGAGCGATCCTGAATATTTTAATGTTGTGAAGGAGTTTATGATGCATGGGCCGTGCGGAGATGTGAGAAAGAAGTCTCCTTGCATGGTAGATGGTAGATGCTCAAAACATTTTCCGAAAAGATTCGTGGAGCACACCACTTTGGATGAAGATGGGTATCCCGTGTATAGGAGAAGATTTGATGGGAGAACCATTTCAAAAAATGGAGCGGAGTTGGATAACAGATATGTCGTGCCTCATAATAGATATTTATTGCTAAAATATGCAGCGCATATGCATGTGGAGTGGTGCAATCAGTCTAGATCTATCAAATATTTATTTAAACATGTGAATAAAGGAAATGATAGAATCACTGCAACATTCTACCAAAGTGCGAATGGAGAACATGCAGATAATAACGTGGATGAAGTGAAAATGTATTATGATTGCAGATATATTTCATCATGTGAGGCTGCATGGAGAACTTTAGGATTTGCAATTCAGTACAGAAGTGTTGGGATGGAGAGATTGAGTTTTCACTTGCCTAATGAACAAGTTGTTTATTTTAACGACTTAGAGCCAATAAATGAAGTTCTTGAGAAGCCGAGTGTGAAAGAAAGCATGTTTCTTGCTTGGTTCAAAGCAAATGAGATATATCCTGAAGCAAGAAACTTGACTTATGCTGAGATGCCAATTAGATTTGTATGGAAGCAATCTGCTAGAGAGTGGGTGCCAAGGAAAAGAAATTTCGCTATTGGAAGGCTATTTTATGTGCCACCAGCTTGCGGTGAATTGTTCTATCTTAGAGGTCTTTTGAATGTTGTTCGTGGACCAACAAGTTTTGAAGATATAAAGAAGGTTGATGGTGTCCAATATGACACATTTCGTGATGCTTGCTATGCTCTAGGTCTACTAAACGATGATAAGGAGTATATAGATGCAATCAAAGAAGCAAGTTTTTGGGCAACAACACATTGTTTACGTAAATTGTTTGTTGCTCTATTAATTGCTGATTGTTTAAGTAGACCAGAGGAGGTTTGGGAAAAATGTTGGATTTTTCTATCCGAAGATATCCTCCACAAACAACGTGTGATGCTTAATCATCCAGGTATATTTTTATACTATTTCCCACACATTCAAAATTTTATTATACAAATGTATTATTGATTTTAATTGTTTATTGTAGACCTTACATTATCAGATGAAGAATTGAAGAATTATGCTTTGTATGAAATTCAAAAGATGTTACGTAGTTGTGGAAGGAGTTTAGAAGAATTCCACTGCATGCCATGTCCTGATAATAGATTTTTATCCAATAATACCAATCGGTTGGTATATGATGAGTTGAATTATGACCGGGCAAATTTGGTAGAGGAGCACAAACATTTGTTGGGTAATCTAACTGCAGAGCAAAGAAATGTCTATGATAGGATAATGAATGTGATTGATTCAATTAGGGGTGGAGTCTTCTTTGTGTATGGATACGGTGGCACTGGAAAAACTTTCGTATGGACGACTCTTTCTGCTGCTATACGTTCTAGGGGAGAAATAGTATTGAATGTTGCATCGAGTGGAATCGCATCATTGTTGCTTCCAGGAGGTCGAACTGCGCATTCTCGGTTCAAGATTCCAATTCATCCTAACGAAGATTCTACGTGCAATATAAAACAAGGTAGTGCTCTTGCTGAACTTTTGGTCAAGTGTAAGCTTATAATTTGGGATGAAGCTCCAATGGTCCATAAACATTGCTTTGAAGCTTTAGACCGGACTCTGCGTGATATTTTGCGGTTTCAGAATCCAAGAAGTCATTAATTGCCCTTTGGTGGAAAGACAATAGTGTTTGGTGGAGATTTCAGACAAATCCTTCCTGTCATACCTAAGGGGACGAGGCAAGATATTGTAAATGCATCCATAAATTCTTCCCATTTGTGGCAACATACAAATGTCATGCGTTTAACAAAGAATTTGAGGCTTCTTCATTTGCCAGCTGATGACGAGTCAGAATATTTGATCAAGTTTTCTGAATGGATTGCAAGCATTGGAGATGGCACCGTGGGAGGACCAAATGATGGGTTTGTGGACATTGAGATTCCAGATGAGTTTTTGTTAAAAGATTTCGATGATCCTATAGCAAGAATGGTTGAATGCATTTATCCTTCCTTTGATGCTATTCATGAAGATCCCATTTATTTAGAAAAGAGAGCAATATTGGCACCCACTCTACAAGTTGTTGATTCCATCAATGACTACATGCTTTCTTTAAATGGTTCTGAGATGAAAACATACCTTAGTTCTGATAGCCCGTGTAAATCAGATTAAAATCCTGACTTTTTAGCAGATATCCATACTCCAGAATTTCTGAATGGAATAAAAGCTTCAGGAATACCAAATCATGAACTGCAACTTAAAGTTGGAACACCGGTGATGCTAATGAGGAACCTTGATCATTCTCAAGGGTTGTGCAATGGGACTAGGATGGTTATTACCAGATTAGGTAAGCATATTTTGGAAGCAAAAGTTTTGACAGGGTTGAGTGCAGGTGAGAAGGTATTGATACCGAGAATGTCTTTGACTCCATCTGATGTGAGATTGCCTTTCAAATTTGAAAGAAGACAGTTTCCTTTGATTGTTTCATATGCTATGCCGATAAATAAGAGTCAAGGACAATCGTTGTCCAATGTTGGATTAGTCTTGAAAAAACCTGTTTTCAGTCACGGTCAATTATATGTTGCGCTTTCACGTGTCACTAATCCTGCGGGTTTGAAAATAGCTATATGTGACACAGATGGGAAAAGTACAAATGTAACAACCAACGTTGTATTTAAGGAAGTATTCCGAAATTTGTAATAAATTTTGTTTTCATATTGTTATTATTCCAAACTTTTTAAGCAACATTGTTTTGATTGAAATTGATACTATTGCTAGCTGAGCTCTACTGTATGCATCGCAAGTTATTACACTTACATATTATTTTTAAATTTCTAATATTTGATTTTTATTGATTAATACACATGTAACTCTTATTATGTATGCACCAAAAGTTATTAAACTTACGTATTATTTTTAAATTCCAAATGTTTACTTTTTTATATTGCGTAGTATACAATGTCATATGATAATTTCCCGTGCATCGCACGGGTAGAATACTAGTATTACATAAAGTAAAATACAAGTATGGAATTAATTATGAAACTAGAAACAAAAAGAAACAACAAAAAACAGACGGAGAAACAACACATTGCATAAAAACATCGCGAAACAAGTGCAAACAATTGAGGAAACAACTACTAAGTTGTATAAATAAGCTATACCAGTAAGATGGAAAAAATAACTACAAATTCTGTAGACAAAAACCAGAATGCAAAAGGCTAAAAAGAGCTTTGGAATATAAGAAGAAAATCAGAAACAAAAATAAACAACAACAAACCAATATAAGAAACAAATAGAAACGAGCAAAATACAAGGTGTTTATTGGTAGATAGAATACATGAACTGTATGAGAACCGTACAAAGAAAGATGTTCAAAGGTAGCAATTAACATACGGTTTATACATTTACCCAAAAACAAAATACATATCAACTTAACAAGGAATGTTTACAATACACATATTAGTCATGGCTACATTTATCTAATGCTTCAGCTTCTTGCGCTTGCGTTTGACTTGATCACCATCACTCTCCACTTCACCATTCAGCTTAGATACTCCATACTGATAAAGAAAAAAGGCAAGCCTCGATCTGTATAGCCCAATATCCAAAAATGAAGGAAGCTCTATGCCATCAATGAAATATTCAGCAAAAGCAGCAACATAAGCCCCACAGTCACTAAAAAAAGAATAATCAACATCAATATTTGTATTAGTAATAGAAGGGATAATGCATAAAAGAAAATCATTATAATAAGACAAATAAACTTATGCTGACTCTTGGACAGACAAATTGGTCATGAATTTCAAATCTAAGTTCTTATTAAGATCCACTGCACGTTTAGAAAAGTGATCCATGTGTCTAAAAAACAAAGGCAGCATCACAATATATGGTTTCACAGCTTCTGAAGCATGAGCTATATCCCTTGCACTGACCATGGAATTATAAACATATATGCACCAATCATTAATGCAAAATCTAGCTAGAATCCAATGCATCTGTTTCTTAATGTAAATTGGAATAAAAACATGATCAACTTCTTCCCAAGCCTCTGAACAAGGCAACTGAAAGCCTACAATATAATCACATAGACTTGCAAATTTGGACCAAGAAAATGATTTATCTTGGGTTGCAGCATATGCTTTCAGAACATTCACATTAAAAAGAGTATCAGTTGTTGTGAAACTGATTTTGCAAGTCTTAGTAACTTGAGCCTTCTTCCTGAAGTAATAAAAGATCACATCTAAATGCTGCAAGAAAAAAGGGAAATCGGAAACTAATAAATAAATATGAACACATGATAATAATTTTCATAAAAGTAAATAAACATACAGAATCTGATATAAAGTGTCCCAAATAATAAAGAGAGTGGAACCATGTCTTCGATTCCACAAAAGCAACGGTAAAATCATATCCAGGCGTCATATGATCAATTTTAGAAGGATGCATCAAGTTTGATCTACAAAATTATAAAAAATATGTGAAAAACCAAACTATAATAAAATTGAAATGTATGACATTACTGTTAAACAACCTTTTACGCTTATAAGCTCCTTCATCGATCCAAATGTTAAAAGCAAAAAGAATGGAAGGCGGTGGAACACAGTTTGCCTCATCGACAAAAGGACATACAAGGTTGATAGTAGAAGCCTGGACAAACCCACATCCAGAATCAAATTCCCCAACAAAAGGAGATTTGACAAAAGTACTTGGCTTCACATGCCTCCTTTTCCTAAGAATTGATTCAGGTGTATGCTCTACAGCAATGGGGGGAACAAATGGCACATAAGGAACCAACTCCATTGAAGGAGTTGTAGAACCTAAACCAGGATCATTGGTAGAAGACTACAAAAAAAAGTTAAATAAATAAACAATACTAGTATAATATCAAAAATATAAAGTAAACAATACAGAATACGAAGTCACAATACAGAATACGAAGTGAACACCTTGGAATTTTTAAAATCTGAAACAAGAGAATCAAGCTCAGCAAAAAAACCCATCATCCTCAACCACATCATCACAACCAGCATCTACTGTATGTGCAATTGTTTGGTTTTCAATAGTCATCATATCAATAACAGTAGAAATAACCATGTTCTGGAAAGAGGTGATCAAAAGATCATCATATTCAGCACGCTACATCTCAGTAACAGTAGAAAAACCATATTCTCAACAAAAGTAGTCAAAACAGAATCATTCTCGGCTTAATATGGATGGAAGAAGTTTTGATCGTCACAGTGCTTCTGCTTCACCTGTTCGTTCGAGAAGTCCGAACTCTGCTCGGAAGAAGAGAAAAAATGAAAATGCTCCAAATCCTCGGAAGAAAGCCAAAGTTTCCGTTAATGTCTAAGTTAAGAAGTCTACTAAATTTGTTAAGGAACCAAAAAATAAGAAATATCCTTCGACATTTAAGGTACTTATTTTGGTATTGTTATATTTGAAGTGCTTGTTCTATTTTGCATGTGTACTTTTTGTTCTTCAATTTGAAATTGTTTTTGTTGAATTTTGTTTTTTCAATTTTAATTTTGTTTCATATTTTGTAATCCAGGAGTGGCAGTATTTTGTTCCATGTGAATCGTGGTTTAACAGTAGGGTTTGTACTTTTAGCAAGGATTGCTTTATTGTAAATCTTAAGGCGAAGATGACTTATGTGCAATTGGGATTATTTAGGGAAACCTATTTTGGTAAATTATTGGATTTTCAAGACCTTAAATTGCAGCCACAACTTGTGCATTGTTTGCTTTTGCGAGAAATTAGTCACAATATTCCCAACGAGATCTGGTTTGATGTTTCTGGCTTTCGTTTGCGTTTTTCCATTGCTGAATTTGCTGTTGTCACTGGTTTAAAGTGTATCGGTGAATTTGATACTTCTATTATTCCTTCATTAGACAGTAATTCACTTTTAAAGAAGTATTTCAACAGTTGTTCTATGGTTACTCGTGAAGATATTGAAATTGTTTTCTTGGTCAAAAGGCTGATTGTGATGAAGATGCAGTTAAGATTGCTATTCTGCATGTTCTTGGTCCGTTCTTCTTTACTTCATCTAAGGAGAAGGTCGTAAGTGAAACTTATTTGGCAGTTGTTGATTTTGGTTTATGGGATTCCTATCCTTGGGGGAAAGAACTTTTTGAGGTCACATTACAGAACTTGAAGGGCAGACTTATTAGAGGAGATCATTCGGAAAGTGATTATTTCTTTTATCGTATTTTAGGATTTTCTCTAGCTCTTCAGGTTTGGTTTTATGAGTGCTGTGATTATTGCGATGGTGTGTTTGCTTCTAGATCTGTTTCTACTATTCCCCGAACGTTTTCAATTGAAATGAGGACATCATAACTGAATGTAAATATTATGAAATGAAGGAAAATATCACAATTGTCAGACTCCAAATCCTGCAAATGACTGGTCATGACAGGAACTTCATCTTCAATCTGATAACAATAAGGATCACTCAGATTACAAGCATGGAAAACAAATAATTTCAAACAAAGAAAGAAAGACAGAAAGACCAATGAAACAAAATAAAACAATATAAACAAAATGAAACAAATAAAAAGAAACAATACATAACCTGTGTATCATCTGAGGCATGTCCAGTAGGGTCAGTAGATATGAGTGATTCATCTAACTAACCACAATGAAGACCATCATTTACATGACCACCAGTAGAAAGAAAAGAAGAGTCATTTTCATCATCAGAAAGACCTTTGCTGGTATCATCATCATCAGTAACAACATTTGTAACTAGAGGTTCTTCTACAGTTTGATTTTTATCAGGAGAGGAAAAACTTGAAACTGTGTGCTTGGAAGATTGAACATGGGAAAGTGAAATAACACGGTCAAGCTTGTGTTCTAAATCATTAAACCTGCCCTGAACAAATTCCTTGAAAGCAAGAAGTTTGGTGTCAAGCCGGTTTTCAAATTCCAGTAGAACAGAGTTTGAAAAAACACCATCAAAAGAAGAACTAGGGCCCTCCCCAGCATTTGAATTAGATGGCGTAGTTTGGGGCCTCAATGGATGAGCAGAAAACAAAGCATTCAACTCAAGTGATTCACTTTCAAGGGCAGTAAGCTCAACATTGTGCAGCTTCAACTAATAAATAAAAAACATAAAAGGATAATAAAGTAAATGGAATAAAAGCAAAATAAAAACACAAAATTGAGAAAAGTAAGAAAAAAACATGAGAGACAGATAAATAAAGAAGTTCCATATTCAATTTCTTGAAAGTGTGTCCAATGGAAGAGTGCCAAGACAACATTCGGGGAATAGTAGAAACAGTTTAGAAGCAAACACACCATCGCAATAATCACAGCACTCATAAAACCAAACCTGAGAGCTAGAGGAAATCCTAAAATACGATAAAAGAAATAATCACTTTCCGAATGATCTCCTCTAATAAGTTTGCCCTTCAAGTTCTGTAATGTGACCTCAAAAAGTTCTTTCCCCCAAGGATAGGAATCCCATAAACCAGAATCAACAACTGCCAAATAAGTTTCACTTACGACCTTCTCCTTAGATGAAGTAAAGAAGAACAGACCAAGAACATACAAAATAGCAATCTTAACTGCATCTTCATCACAATCAGCCTTTTGACCAAGAAAACAATTTTCAATATCTTCACGAGTAACCTTAGAACAACTGTTGAAATACT